TTCGGTTTAGTTTGGTTTTTATTTATTCAAGAAGGTGTAATCATTTTATTTTCTCCATATACAAAAATATTTAGTTTTAAAAAATCACCATATTTTATTTTTCACTTGTGTTTTACATTTTCCATACAAGTGGAGGTAGTTTTAATCATTAATTACATTCTTAACATATGCGCTAAGCGCACATGATTGTGACAACCCTCACCTCTGATTAATGTTAAACTGTGACTGAGCATGATAAGTAACTAATAAGAATGATATTCTGAATCGATTGTATGAGTGTATTGTTTTGAATGCATTTCTATCTGTCTGATTTCTGAATGAATTTGTTCATGTTTTAACTTTGAACTGCGAATTGAAGGTCTTATCAGCGACCGAACCAGAAATCGATTAGTGTTATATGCTAATTAGGATTTATGTGATGATTTTATGGTAGATTTAATTTAAATTTGATTTGGAATGATTAAATTAGATTAAATGATGCTAAATCACATTGGTTTAAGTAAATTGCACTTTTGCCACTTAGTGGCCTAATTCACCAACACTCCTTACACCTTACATTCGTTGATGCACCACTTTTATTCATCTTCTTGACCCCAAAACCGTAAGCAAGAGATGGAGAGTAGGAGAAGTTTGGTTTCAACAAGAATTAGCTTGGAAATTTGAAGACTTGAAGAGTGATTGCAAAATTAGACTTCTACACCTAGAATTCAAGGCCTAAGGTAGGAAAATCATCTTCTTAATTGTGAATTCCAGTTATATCTTGCATGTTTCATGGAAATTTGGAGTTAAAGTCAAGAATTGGTCTAAAGAGTGGAATTGAGTAGTAATTCATGCATGCATGAACATATTCTTGCATTTTGAGGTTGTTTTCACGAAAACTCTTACATGCATGTTCATATTTTGGTAGAGGTCCATGAATTCACCATGATTTTGAGCTCAACATTGCGTTTGATCTTGTTTTAGAACACTAGAGCTCTTGGAAACTCATGCATGTATGGTTTTGCATTATTCTTCGTATTTACACTTAATTTTATGTTCAATTGGTTTACTTTTGGGCTTGATTTCATAAATTGATCTTTGAAACATGTTGTACTATGAGTCTTCAAGTGTTTTCCAGAAAATTAGCTCAAAAGAATCGAGTTTGAAGCTTTAGAAGTTGAATTTTGTACTTGAGGATCAATCTGGAAATTCCAAATTTTGGATCCACGCTCGAGCGTACACTTTGAGTACATGCACTTCCACTCGAGCGTAGGAAGTTACGCTCGAGCGTGAAATGCATATGCCCAGAAGTTCACATGTTTTGCAGTCCGCTCGAGCGAGAGACTTCACGCTCTAGCGAGGGTCTGAGTCTCACGCTCGAGCGGAGGTCGAGCGTCCGTCGAGCGTGAAAATCGTGCATCTAGTACTTTTTCATGAGTTTACAGTCCGCTCGAGTGAAGGAAGTCACGCTTGAGCGGAGCTCCATTGTCTGTATGTCCGCTCGAGCGTAGAAAGCCATGCTCGAGCGTGGACCCCTGTTTCAGTAAAAATTTGAAAAGTGTTTTAAAGTGCATTTTGACATCCTCATTTCATCCTAGGCATTCCTAGGCCAAGTTTAAGGCATCTTAATGAGGATAATGTTATAGAACCACACCATGTATAGTTAGGGGCTAAGTTATTGATCCCGAGTGTGTGTTCGTTCTGTTACTCTGTAGGGTTGGCATCCAAGGACGCTCGTTAGCTTGTCTATAGCCCAGAGCTCTGTGAGTAACAATGTTGTAAAGATATGTTCAATTATGATTATTTTCTGAATGATCAACTGTACTACTTACTGAAATGTTAGTGTTCAATGAATGACTGTTTGTCCTATTTGTAAATTGTACTCGTGGCATCCATAGCAACCTACTGTTATTGTTACTGCTACTGTTGCAGAGATCTCTGTTAGCCCCAATGTTGGGACCACTACTGTTCACTGTCTGATGGCCATCAACTGAATGTTCGGTCTATTAAGACCTACTGTACTGCTTTGCTATTGGATGTACCACAAATGACTATTATGGCATGAAATATGAGCCACTGATTGATAACTGATATAATTGACTGTTTTAATTACTGAAATGACATTCATTCTTAACCCCTTTACGCATATGTTATTCACTGGGCCTTAGCTCACTGTTTATATTTATATGTAGGTGTCCAGGCACCGGGCCGATGCTAGGAGCGCCAAGTTAAGCTCCCATTTTGTCAAGCCAACCACCGTGCCTCACCTCAAGGTTCCGAGTCTGTTCAAGTTAAGGCTATTTTGGGGTGTCTCAGTTTCACCCTTTTGTTTCTAGTCTGTAATAAATTTTTAAGACTTGACTGTACAGTTATAGTTAGGGATTTGGTCCATGACATGGATGTTGTGTACATGTCGCATGTACATATGTTTTGGTTATCAGGTGCGGCATCTTTTATAAAAAGTCTTTTGGCATCCAGATTGTCACAGCTCATTGGGCATCTTTTATTTACTGTTTTGGCTTCCGCCAGCCCCTTTACTCTGTATTACTGTCATTACTGTTAAGTAAGACGTCGGTAATCACGGATTACTGGCCGGTTACGGTGCTAAACCCATAGGGGCGGGTTTGGGTCGTGACAATGATAGTAAGACCCAACTATCAATTAATTCTTCAATTTTGATCTAGTTTTCAACGTGACACTCAATTTTTTAATTGTTTATTAGATAAATTACGACGGTAGTCCATTTAATATGGCCCTTATATCATTTTAGTATCTCTAATTTCAATTGGTTCGGTTTTGACATTAAATTTATAATTTTGTCTCAATTTCGTCCAGTTGATTACAACTCTTAGCATTTTTATTTTATAGAAAATATATACATAAATATCATGTGCCATATTTTTAAGATTAAAATTATAAATTTATCAAACTCAGTAAATTAATCTCAATCAATTTAGTGATAATTTTTTTTTAATACACTAATGATATTATCAATTGAGCTGAATTGACAAAAAAATATAAAATTAAAAGTCAAAATCAAATCAAATGAAAGTGAAAAAAATAACACAAGGGGTAAAACATAGGGACTACTAGTGTAATTTTTCATTTTTTATTTAAGGCATTTAGCTTTATTTTTGTTAGGTTTTTGTAATTGACAATCTCGTTTGACAAAAATCCTTTCAGTTGTAATTTTATTTGTTCTTTTGTTTCAGTAAGGATGTGAGTGTTTAGGTACGAATCCAACCTGAATTGTGCCTATGTAGTGGAGTTCATGTTTGCCACTTTGCTCGAGTGGTGATTGTGCACTCGAGCGATGAATAAGAACATCCAGTATCTCTGCCTACAAGTTGAACTTCTGGGAAAGATGTTTCACCACTCGAGCAGTGAAATGTGAGCTCTAGTGGTCGAACTATATATTTTGCATCGCCTTTACTCACACCACTTGAGCGATTCACGTCGGTTTGCTATTTTTAGGGTTCTAGACTTTTAGAGAGGAAGAAAAACCAAAGTGTGTAATATTGGATGGTGTTTTATAAGTGTTTCCTTGATAATTTGAGAGTGATCGATGAATCTATGAGCTTCATATTGACTTCATCAAAGGTTGTTTTTACTGTTACATTCACAAAGGAGAGATGTATTCTTCGATGGATTCTGGGGAATTTGGGCTTGAAACTTTGATGGATATTGGAGGGGCTCATCGTCCTAGATTCGACATCAGCATTATGGATTCAATGTTGGGCAAGACAATTCTAAGGTGAAGATGGTGGTGAAATAGGCACATCGGAGTTAGTTCAATTCGGGCGTGGATTTACTAGGTAATTGATGATACACATGTGTAATTCTTTTTTGTCTTCTTAGTAGATTGTTTTGTGGCTTTGGCCTATGATTTTTTTTATCACAATTAGAGGCGCTCCAATTGTGATTTTTTTTCACGTTAAATTGTTATGTTGATTCTTTATTGATTGTTTGATTGAGATTGGTATTCACTATTTAAAATTAAAATATAATCACGAATCAATATCTCAGAGATTTTAATTTTCAATATGATCACGATTGCACAAATCAAGTTTACTAAAACCTAGTTATCCTAACAAAATTCAACTAAAGAAAAAAATAATATTAGAAAAAGATTACTTAGGCAAGGGAGAGTTGTTGTTGGGTGACGATGGTGGTGCAAAAAGAGCTTAGAGAGGAGGTGGGTGGTAGATGAGGGTTTGGGAGGGCCGCCAGAGGGGGTGGTGGAGATGGTTGGATTGGGCTTGATTGGGGAGGGGCTTGTTAGAGGGAAGGTTGTGACCAGGATGGAGGTCCAAAAAAGGAGATATTTTTAGTATTATGGTGAGAGTCTTAACAACAACAACCACTACAACAAAATGCACTTTTGGCGACTAAAAAAAAATTTAATCGTCAAGAGTTGTGAAATTGGTGACCAAAAATAATATTAGTCGGCAAAAGTCAAATATTTAGCTACTAATTTTTTTTTAGTTGGGGGTTATTGATTATTGGCGACTAAAAAAAATTTAGTCGCTAAAAATACCACAATTTGCGACTAAAAAAGTTGTTAGTAGCCGTATAGTTAGTTTTGACTGCTAAAATTATTTGGTAGGCAAATGAAAAAAAAAATTTATTTTTTATATTTGGCGACCAAACTTAATTATATTTTCAGTGACAAAAAAATATTTTAGTAGCCGTATAGTTTGTTTTAGCTACTAAAATTGTTTAGTAGCTGAATAAAAAGAAAAAAATTATTTTTCATCTTTGGCAAATAAAAGTTTGGTTGCCAAAAATATATTTTCAGCGACAAAAGAATATTTAGTAGCCGTATAGTTAGTTTTAGCTACTAAAATTGTTGAGTAGCCGAATAAAAAGAATTTTTTTTTTTTTTTTAATCTTTGGAGGGAGATTTGGAGGGAGATTTCAATTTTTGGAGGGATTAAAAAAGTAATTAGCGACTAAAATATTGAGTCGCGAATTGTTATTAATTATATGGGAAATGCTTCTCGACAGCGTGAGGCGCGAATGCCTCGAATGAGCTCTGTGATGCGTGTGGATCTCTCTCTCCTCTCATCTATCTCTCTCTCTCCTCTCATCCATCTCTCTCTCTCTTAGTCAAACCCCAAAACAATCTCACTCTACTCTATTCAAATCCAAATTTGGGATTCCCTCTCTCTCCCTCTACTCTGTTGAAACCCAAACACTGTTTTAGTCTAGTAAACAAGAGCAAAATCAGCCAACCCATCGGCGACAGTGGAGGGCTTCCGGCGTTTTCCGGCTTTCCTTCTTTGCATTGACAAGTTGCAAAGTTACCCAAGCCCTAGATCCTCAAATCTCCTCCATTGACAGCCGAGAAAAGGTCAGATTTTTTTTTATTATATATATTTATAAATCATTGCCATTTAATCTCCATGATGAAAAGCTTAGTGATTAATTTTTTTTTTCGTTTTATTTTGAAATCCTCTTCATTTAATTCCCATGATGAAAAGTTGTGTGATTTTTCAGAAAAATGTTATGAAATCATACTTGCTGAAATAGACTCGCTGTTAGGCGTACATGATATGCATCAGTATTCTAATCCCTTTTACAAAAATAGAACAACTCCTTTCATGATGCATATGGAGAGGATTTTTGCATAAGTTTGTTCACCAAAAAAAAAAAAAAAAGAATGAACGGAGAGGATTTTTGAAAAACAGAACAAAAGACCTGTCATGAAATATGTTATGAAAATAGACTTGCTGAGTTCTGTTGTGATTTTGAAATAAAAATCATCTTGTTGAAATGATAAATTGAAGGCATGTGTGATAATTGAAAGCATGTGTAATTCTCTCTACACTTACATTTTGCATTGCAAGTGTATGATAAAATGTCTTAATGAAATGCTTTGTGAATGGCCAAATTATTGTCTCTAAACTTACATTTTGCCTCAATGAAATGCTTTGTGAATGGCCAAATTATTGTCTCTAGACTTACATTTTGCCTCAATGAAATGCTTTGTGATTTTGAATAACAATACCAAATTTTTTAGGCTATCATACTTCCAGCAGCAAACTTCACCAGCAAAACCATATATCATCTTCATTCCATGGGCCATTTGAATTCTTTCCATAATGGCTTAACTGCACTTTCATGTGAGAAGTGCATCTTTCAATAATACAAACAAATGCTGATACATGCCAAAAGTACAAAAGATAATAGGAACTCAAGTCTTTCTACTGAATTGGTTACATATATGTCAAATTTCCAAATAAATAATATGAAATCAACCTGTGAAAAAGGTCATCACCCATCTCATATTATGAGACCGAGCCAAGGGCAAATCAAATTCAACAACCAAAACAACAAGAATATGGAAATTTCAGAAAATAGGTTTTAAAAGTTCTGTTTAATCAGACTCTTTTTTCTTTGGTTTTAATTTTCTAGATGGCCACTACACTTGAACCAAATTAAAAATACTTAATGAATGTTCAATCTGGTAGTCCATCATTGGCTTTTGTTTAATGTTCAAACAGTTTGATTTTTGTTTAATGGATAAGATATTTTCATTGTAGACAAGGTAATCCAGCTTACATTAATTTCTTCATTACAGTTTGGTTTCTGTGATAAACTCCACCATTTCTCAACTATGAAATAAAGGTTCCATACACATAACAATTGTCTTAACAAACAAAATCTTTCTATGTGGACTTTCAACAAACACATAAAATGCATCAATACAAAAACACCAAAATCATGTTTAAAACAAATAATGGACCAAGAAGATTTCAACCAATGTAAAGAAAATAGGAGCAAAATCATAGACCAAGCGGATTTCAACACTTTAGATGTTACTGTATTGCATTCTCTTTTATTGGGTTGTTAGTAATAATGACTAATGGTTTAGCTGTTTGAACTAGGATATCAACACTTAACAGTTTTTTATATTTAAAATGTAGTAAATATTTATCTAAATTACATGTTCATTTTTTTTAGGGTAAATTACATTTACCTCCCTTGAGGTTTCTGACAAATACAGGGACCTCCCCTGTGGTTTTAATAATTACAGAAACCTTCCCTACTTTATCTGACAATATCAAGATTCTCCCAATCCATCAATTTTATACAAACGACGTTACTTACCTATACAAAATGACTATATTACCCTTTTATTTGAGGGCAAAAAGACGAAAATACCCATTGATCTTGTCAGTTTTGTTAACCCCACCATATACAAAATGAATTTTTTTGTTCTCTCTCTGTTCTTGTATGCTTTATGTGCAAATACTGGTCCAAGTTACATCTTTTGGGTTACTATGTTAATCTACACAGAAGTGTATATCTTGCTTCAATATCTGTATTCTTAACTCCCTTTTCAATCCCATCACCACCATCATCCTCCTCCACTACTACCATCTCCCCCGCCACTGTCCACCACCGGCAAGAGCGGTGGCGACGAGTGGAACAAAGCTTGAGAGTCCGCCTGGCTCCCCGAAGACCTCTCCGACAACAACTGACCCCTATGGAAGATCGACATCAACTTCTCCGACAACGGCAACCCTTCCGCCGCCACTCCTCTATTCCGACATCGACGTCGAAACGAAGGTCTTCGTTGAGGACACACCACTGCCTCCCTCTATTTCTCTATCTACCCACAAGTCTTCCTCCACTTCCTCTCCTCCACCGACCGTCGCTCACTTTTCCTCTCCTCCTCCTCTTCCTCTTCTGAAACCCTAACCCTAGATCTATAGTTTTTAGAGCGATGGTAAGCAGTGATGGCAGCAACGTTGGGTTGCAATCTAGGTTGTGGCGGTTGGTTGCGATCTAGGTCGCAATCGGGATAAGAAGAAGAAGAAGAAGAGGAGGAGAAGAAAGATGAGGAGAGAAGAGGGACAAATGGCTAGAGAAAGAAAGGGGGAGAAGGAGAGGAGGAGGCTGGAAATGGTGGTGGATTCAGAGAGACCCAATTTTTGCACTAATCCAGTACCTTATTTTCTTTGGGAGATAATGGCTATGGTTTGATTTTGATTTCTATTGGGTTTGATTTTGCACTGATTTTTTTGGAGAGGTGGTATTGATGGTGGCTATCCAACTTCTCAACTGAGTAATTGTGGATTAAGGCTTCAGTTGAGTATGAATATTTACATCTTCACCTATTCAGTTTTTTGTTTTTGGAGGTTGTAGAGCTTTGTAGTGTTGGTGCTTTCTTTTTTTCTTTTCTTTTTTAAAAAAAATTGGGAGGTGTTTCAGTGGTGAGTGTGTGCAGTGGTAGTGGTGGTTTGGGGGTTGCAGAGCTAGTAGAGCTTGGGGTTTGACTGGTGGCGTAGTTAAGCTAATAACAATGATGGCCATGTTATGGGTGTTGTGTTGCTGCTTCTACAGCAGTGTTAATTATGAGTTTTTTTTTTTTTTTGTGTGTGTGCAGAGAAAGCAAAGGGAAGAGATAACACTTAAGGAGATTGGATTAAGTGTTGCATTTGAGGGCATTATGGACATTTTGGCATTTATCTTTGATGACATCAGCCGCTTCCGTTAGTTGTGTAAACGGAAGTCAAAAAAAGGGGGTATCTTGATATTGTCAGATAAAGTAGGGGAGGTTTCTGTAATTATTAAAACCACAGGGGAGGTCCCTATATTTGTCAGAAACCTCAGGGGAGGTAAATGTAATTTACCCTTTTTTTTATCTTGTTCTTCTCTTAACTAGTCTTTTGCAAGAATGTTGGACCCAAAAGTTAACAAACTAATGGAAGATGTGGCTTTGAATGGGTAGACTAAGCAGAAACTAATGGGAGATTGGCTAGTTCTTGTTCTTATAGTGTTAATTATGGTTTAAGCTGTTTGAAGTAGGATGTAGGCACTTTACAGTTTTATACCTTCAAATGTAATATAGTTTCCTAATGTTGGTCATCTTTTTCCTGTTATTTTTTTCATTAGTCCTCTAACAAGAATGTTGGATCACAAAGCTAACAAATTAATGGAAGATTTGGCTTTAAATGGAAGATTTGGCTTTAAATGGGAAGATTTGCATAATGCAATCTGTGCATCTAACCACAAAATAGGTGGGTTAAGTCACTAAAACAAAATGCACCTTCGCGTTTCCCTATCATGCATATGCTTGCAAACCGTTTGATTTGACCTCTAACCTATTTGGATATTGTTGAAATTTGCTACTCCAAATTCTGGAACACTACACGAGGATGCTTGGTTAAATCATGGAATTATTTACCATCTATTTTACCCTTTACTATCATAGTTTATTCTTCAAATCTGGTCTCTTCTCATCTTCTTGCAACTGTATATGTAGTTTGGAAAACCCCATTTATGTCGTTTGGTAGATTTGTCTTCTTTCATTTCCAAAATTTAATACTAATCATGCAAATTTATTTGCTTTAAAATATTTATCTCAGCTTAAAGTTTCTTTACCAAACTTGCATTGTTTTCATGATGTTAAGATATCAATGTTATTTTTATAATTACAAGAGTGTCATCTTTAAATAACTGAATTGACCTTGGGAAATCCCTCCACGTTTTAGCAAGGTTGTGGGCTGCTACTGTGATTGGAAGCTGGTGCAACTTTTTGATTGTTCTGTATATTGGTGAGACATCGTGTTATTTTCTGTGAAATTAGTTTGTTATGAAATACGCTCTAGACTGGTTACAGGATGTGCACTCAATAGCATGCTTAAGCATTTGCAATCAGTTGGTGAAACCCTCAAAATATTGTGTATATGTTATGGGGGATGGGATCAAATTGGGGAAAAAATTGTGGTTAAATAATTCATCAAGCTTCATCAACAATTAGGTATAATTTTTAATATTACCTTCATGATTTTATTTTATTTTTTTCATAGAAAGGGGAAACTTCCATAAGTAAAATTAGTTAAAGTAAAAATAAAAAATAAATAAATACATTCAAAAAATGAAAAATCTTCATAGCAATTTACGCCGTGTGTAACGAAAAAAAAAAAGTACATATATTATATCATGTTTAAAAATTGAAGAAAATTCACAAAAAAAAAAAGATTCTGAAATAAAAACATGTCTTGGTAAGTTTTCTCATATTTTTGTGAAGAAATGAAAAATTAATAGCTCCGATTGCCACCACCATTATACTACGACTGTTACACCCCACAACTGCATCGTTGCCACCGTTATGCTCTGGTTGAATGTAAGAATACATTATGACTGGTTATAATAGAAGGGATTGAATTAGTTCAGTAGGATGTTAGGCATTTGGGTATGCTCTCTGATAGAGGGCTAGCTTCGATTTTCCTATCCCATGTGGAAGAGAGATTTGGCTTCCCGTTACATAAAAACCTTGATCAATACTCAACCTCTTCACTGGAAAAAGTCAAACTTTCACTACAGGAAATATAGAATTTAACGGCGTTTATATAGCAACGTTTTTATAAACACCACTGTTTCTAACCTTTAACGACGTTTTATAAACGTTGCATTTTATTTTGATTAAAACGGTACCGTTTAAGGAATAGAAGTCGTTTTTTAAACGCCTTCACGTCTGTTACAATAATATTCCTCCCCTTCTCTCCGTAGCTCTGTGAGAATCAGAACCCTTTTCTCTCTCTCTCTCTCTCTCTCTCTCTCTCTCTCTGCGACCTCATTTTGAATCTGGGAAACATTCAGAGTCAGAGAAACTAATCCCTCAAATCTCACTCACTCACTCGATTGCTCGCTCTCTCTCTAAACCCTTCAGTCTCAGAGATTACGATTCAATCTTCTGTGGCTCGGTTTCATCTCAGATCCAATCTCAGAGTGATTTCGACTTCGAAGTTCTCTCTCTCTCTCTCTCTCTCTCTCTCTCTCTCTCTCTCTCGATTTCGAAGCTCCACCGCCACCACCATCTGCATCGTTGACTAAGGTGAGCACTACCATCTACAATCTCAATTTCGTTTTCTCTCTGTCTCTCTCAAGCTCTTCGTTCCGTCGATTCTTCTCCTAGGGTTTACATATGTTTAAAATTTCAGATCTGAGTTTTCTCATTCAAAAATATATGTTTGAGATCTGAGATTTCTCATTCAAAAATATGTTTGAGATTTGAAATTTCTTATTCAAAAACATATGTTTCAGATCTGAGATTTTTCATTCAAAAAATATGTTTATGATTTGAAATTTTTTTCCCCATCTGTTTGTATTTTCACTACTTTTTTGATGTCATTGGAATCAATTTGTTTTTTGTTTTTTTTTTCTTTCCCGGTTAAATGTGTTGTATTTTGTATTGCACGCTTTTCTTGCCTTGGATTTGTGGTGTTTTGGTTGACTTTGTATTAAGAATGTATTCGAGCGATGTGTGATAATCTGTTCTAAATTAATTTTTGTTTTTTCTTCGAATGCAGAGACTAAAAATAAAAAATAAAATAAAATAAGAATCTCGTTGTTAAAGTAAAGTTTAGAACTTGAAATTTTTATGTTGAATGTACTTCTTTTTTAATTTGTATCAGAACTGAGTGCAAAGTTGTTTGTAACGATTAATTTGTTTGTTAGGAGCAATAATCTGCGGAGATTTAGTTTAGAATCTTAATTGACATGGTTTTAATATGAATCAGTTTAGAAAAATACTCTTTTAAGTGGGCTACCTTGTTAGAGACTCTGTATTTACGTGCACGGTAGTTGTGCAAATAATGGGAGCAATATCATGGCTGGTCTTCACAGCATATTGTTTGCCATGATATGATCAAGTAGATGTTTACTGCTATGCATACTATTACTAGAGAAAGGGACTTTGCAGTGACTATATAAAGGCTACCTTTGTCTTGGGGATCACTAATTGGTTATTGTCATGAGTTCTTGTGACTGCATTGTAGTGTAGTAGGTTCTCCATTGGCTTAGGGATCATACTAGTGTAGGAACTCCATTGTCCCAGCTTTGAATTACTACCTACGAGCAGTTCAAATGGCATGACAGTTGTTTCGTTACCTTTTTAAAAAAATAAAAAATAAAAAATGATTGACGTTAGTTTTTTCTCAAAGATGAGCATTTTAGAATTATATTTGAAATCTAATTTGAAACAGTGATTGGTTATCTAATTAGAAATAGGGAAATCTGACAAGATTGATGTCTGTTAACAATTTCACCATATTTGCAGCCAATAAAATAAAGTTAATAGCCCCATATTTGCTAATAATGGGCATTTGGTACAACTTTCATCCATATTTGGTCTCCATTTTAGGAATGTAACATTAGTTCTTTCATTCTTTTGTCTTGAAACTGAATTTCATTTATATTTCTTAATACTATACCATATCTTAAGGTCTTGTTACAACTTTTAAATGGACTTGTTATTATGTCTACATCGTTTTGGGCCAAGTAAATACCAATGCTGTTTTCAAACTGTGTCAGTGAAAAGATCAAATGGGCTCAATGTGAAGACTGTTTTAAGTCGCGCAAAGTTCCTGCCGATGCTTTTCTTTCCTCAAGATGGACCTGTTCTGAAAACTGGTGGGATCTAGAAAGGTAAAATTGGTATCCATTTCTGCTTCTGAATCCTGGACTTTTTGTTCCTATATACAAATTTTTGTTTTTGTTTTTGTTTTGAGCTATGTTGTTGGTTGCATTCAAAACGAGCAATGAAGCCAATATATGTTCCTCATCTCATTGAGGGATGTAAATGTGGATACAGGGTAGGTGCTCTTGCTCCCAAGTGGTTTTATAGCATCATGTAATGATTGTGCTTTATGTTTCAAGGCTTTGTGATGTGATTCCAAGGGTTGCCATACTGATCTGAATGGTTCGTATGATAGGCTGTAATGCTTGTATCACTTTATGAACTTATACTTTCTTGAGTGCTCGACTTTCAATAAGATAAAGAATTTCTCTTTATGTAGTAAAGTGGAGATACATTTCTCAATATGAACTTGTACTTTCAATATGAAATTTATATAGATAGATGCATTTATATGTTGCTACATTTATTACTCTCTGTTTGAATTGTTTGGATTGGGGAATGAGAAAATAAAAGAAATGATTGAACTTTCTGTTTTATGTGCTTTGGTGCTTTTGTTTTGATGAATACGAAAGGAGTATGTGATATATTTATTTTTTTCTTTATATTTTAGTGGGTAATCTTTTGTATTAATACATAATCAATCAGTTTATTTTTCACCCAATTTCGCTGTTTTTGGTGATAAATGAAATCCATAATTGATCATTTTCTCTCTATTTTTCATGAGAGAAGAGTTTTTGTTTTTGTTTGTTTGTTTCTTATCAATTTCTCAACAAATCAATCAATTCAAACAAAGACTGTTAATGGGAATATCTATTTCTCTCTCCTCTCTGTCTTACTCTCTCCTCTGATTTGTAAAAGTAAGTCAAGTTCTAAATACTGTATGGTGTTTGATGTGGGTGTGTAGGGACAGGGAAAAACCCACAAAATACACAAAGGACAGTGGCTATTGTGGTGGGAGGAGTGGCTGGTTTTGGGCTTGGAATTGCCTGCTTGTTGTTTCTAAAATCAGCTTTTAAGAAGCGAGAAAACAAGTATGGAGGATGATGATGAGGTTAGTTTCCAACCTTTTACTACTCTGTTTTCTGTTTTTTTTCTCTGTTTTTTTAATTTTCAAAATGAAAATATTCCTCTTGCTATGAAGAATTTATTAAATTTTTTTTTTACAGTTTGGTATTTTTGTGTGTGTGTGTGTGTGTGTGTGTGTGTGTGTTGTGTGTGTGCAGGGTGAGACTACTACTATTATGTGCTTAGCTGCTAAGTTGGAGGGGTGTAATGTAAAAGAGAGAAGTTTTACTTTTTTGACTCTGTTTTGCATTCAGATATTTCTTCTCCACCTAGTTCCTTTTTCATTAGTTTTCTTTCTTTTAAACCAAACAGCCCTATCTGTCTAAAAAAATACACATTTTAGTCATAGTTGGCCTTTTTCTTTTGAATGTACATGCACAGATTGAAATATATATATATATATATATATCTATTTGTGAATAGTAGCTTTTAGTTGGCATTAAAGGTTTGTTCTCCACTTTACTACATAAAGAGCAATTATTAGGTAATTAAACACACATGTTCAAGTGAAATTGTGTTGCCAAGTGATAGTCAATAAAAAACCTTCGTTTTTACCAGTTACTCTAGTGACTAATCTCCAAAAAATTAGGTTTACTCTTGCAAAGAAGCAGGAGCATATTAGGTAATTAAAAATCTATTGTACCTTTTACCTTTTACATTGGTTTGGTCATATCATGTATTTAGTTCTCAATCTCATCAAGTAATTAAAATTTGAACTCTGGTATATGGATTTATCGGATCCATTCTGTTTTTGATGATCTTGGGTCCAGAGCTCTTCCAACTTTCCTCAATTCCACCATGAATGCTATTGAGGTACTACTACTTTCCTCTTCTATTTCTCACACTCATTTTTGTTTGTTTGTTTTTTTTTCCCCATATGAATTCAGTCAGATTCACACTATGTTCAACTTCAAGATGCAATTCAAATTACTCTTTGATGTCTTGTGAATTTTGAAATGGCTGTTTGGGTAAAAAAAAAAAAGTAGAGAGTTTTGTTCTTAGTTTACAATTTCACAGAAATTATCACTAAAAGCACATGTAAAATTCAAATATCTGCTGTGTGGATTGAAAACTATGCAGAAAATTTGCTTATTTTCTCTTAAAAAACTTTCTGTGAGTGTAGTGTATCATCTTAAATTTAATAATGTGATATCTGAAGATTGTTCTCTTTATGTTGAATTGTAATGTGAGTAGGGAATCATTGGAATGGTTGGGCTTTCTTGATCTAAGAAAAGGGTTATCAAGATACTTCACGATGTCAATGGAATCATAAAACCATCTAGGTTGGTTCATGAATTCCTCAATTTTAGATTAATGCTACTTGATTGATTGATCTATTGGAAACTAGAAAGTTTTGGTCTCCAAAAATATAATCCAAATGCCTTCATTTTATTTTTTTCTTTGTGATTTTAGAAATGAATACAATATAAAGTTCAAAACACCTAGTTTTTATTTTGTGCTAAAATAGTTTTTGAAATTTTTCTAGAAAGGGGGTTGTTTCTAAAAAAAATTTATGAAAAGATTTTGAAACATGGAGAGAATGATTGCTATCAACCTCTTCCTAATGGGCACAAGCTTTTCTTCCATGATATAAGATGGGTAGCTGTACGTGCAGCTGTTGCTATGGGTGAGGAAGGCGATATGGTTGTAAGTCTTCGAGACCCCATTCTGCTTTTCTTACCAGTTAATTTATCAATTCATATTTAGTGCCATAAAATTTGGGGGTAAAAGTCACTCAAAACTAATGGGGATAGAAACACATTGATTTGTGAAAGAGAAAATTAGAATCTGTCAGCTTCAACAGTTCCATTACTTAAATGATAGAAATGAGTTTATTCCTGAACTTTTCAATAGAGATAGATAAAGAGTTTTGTTGTTCTTGACAACAGGTGGCTGCTCAAAACAATGATCCTCAAATGACAGTTTATTGAGCGTGAATTTCTAGCTGAGCAGGTGATCTGAGAACCTCATTTTTACATGTACCAGTTAATACACATGAATGTTTCTTTTTTTTCATCCCTAAACAAACAAAACTTTGGAAGAAAACACTGTGAGTAAAGAAGAAATAATCTTCTATGAGTTTTCTAATATTGTCGACTTCTTTCTTATTTTTTTCCCTTCGTTAGGTGGAAGCAATTAAGAAAATTGCAGACTTTGTCACTCAGTTGAGACTGGTTGGAAAAGGACATGGTATGAATCAAGTTTCAATGTCACTCATCGCTATCCGTTTCTGATTTTTCTTTTCTTTTTTGAAATTTGGCTGTGTCACTGCAATTTCAATTTCTTCTTATATGATATTAATTTTAGAACCTGTGGTGTTATTGCTTTCAGGATGAATCTGTACTAATATGGTTCTCGGGGAAAGAGGAGAAACACCTCAAACTAAGTCACATGTCTAAAATCATTTCAGGGCAGCGCACTGTAAGTTCCTTGCTGTGATGGCAATATCATTGTATAACTACTCTGTCTACACTTTAAAGCTTATGAAGGAATAGTAAATATTCATTGATGTCGAAGTCTACACTTTCAATTTTTTTTATTTGACTGCAACTTTTTCAAACAGATTGGAAAGGTGGTAGATGAACAACTTATCGAACAAGGTATAAAGTTATTCTCTATCACTGAGCATATTTTGGAAGATCCTTAGCACATCATAATATTGTTACTGAGCCAAATATACTCAATGACTATCATTTCATGATCCTTCTGGCTATTATGGAGTTTCAGTGTTTCATTTCTCTTTGGAATTTCAGGATGATGCATCAAAGAACCTAGTGACTAAGTTACACTCTGCTAAAGCTAAGCTTGATTTGGTGACTCAAACAAAATCCAAATTTGTTTTGGAGAATAGCAAGGTTCATGTATTAAATTCTGATTTCTATAGCTTGAGTGGATGTACATAGATACTAAGGGTAGAGGTTTATTTTTTTACTGTTTATTTTTTTACTGACCTTCAAGTGTTTTGAATTGCTTGAAGAGTTAGTGTTGTTGTTCAGAGAGAACTTCAAACTCGAGTCTGATCGCTCTTGCATACATCTGGAGTTCGATATATTGTTTACTTTTATTTTTGGTTGTGCTTGTTGTTTGATTTTGGTTTAGAAATAATCATATAATGTTTTTAGTCAATATATTGAAATAGCAGTAAAGTTTTATCCATATTATTACTAATTTTCAGCTTTATTACAATTATGTTTTTTAGTTATATCCAATAGAATTAGCATAATCTCAACAACAAAAAAAAAAAGAAAAAAAAAAAAGAGAAGAAGCTATGAACGGCGTTTTTTCAAAATGCCACTGCAGTGTTAACGGTCACATTTTTAAATTAGGAAAAAATCTATCACGGCGTTTTTAAAGCGTCATAATGCTATAGCGACGGCCCCATCTTCGACGTTTGAGACTAAACGTCGCAAAAAGAATTAGAGGCGTTTTTCACACTTATAGCGGCATTTTTTAAACGCCGCTAAATGTAAAATTTCCAACAGTGTTTATTCATTGCCTAAATTCCTGTTTGAATTTCTGGAATTAAGATGGTTTGAACCTTGTTCAAGTTAACTCATAAACTTTCATGTGTTAAGTTGTGATTCATTATTATAGAAGCTTAGATGAACAATCGGTCAAATCTGGTGACGGTCCTTTAAGTTGTTTTGTCTTCACGATAAACCTTGCTTGTTTATCTGCATTTTTCTTTTGTTGTCTTGGGTATCACATTTCTTAGATGCTGTTATTATTTAACTACCATTGAGCGATTATGCAGTACTGAACATAGCCTTAACTATTATGGTTTATTTATTTATTAATTTATTCTGTTTTTGGCTTGTTAGGTTTTGTTGCACTTCACACACTGCCAATTCTATATGAGAGGTATGAAGACCAAGTCGACTGCTTTGTATACAGTGTACTCGACCAGCTTCAGCACCAATATCGAAAGTTGGATGACGGTGTCCTCAGCAAAATTCCCAAAGGAAAGCTTGATAAAGGAAAGAAGCATGAGTAGATAATTGTTACTTTTTATGCAGATACATACTCTATACAACCTGGATAGATCTCTAACAAATTCAGTTTGTGGGTTTGAGTTACAAATAGTTATTTTTCTATGTTATGTGCAAAAATATTAAAGACTATGATTTGTTGTGATAAGAGCAGCATGTTGTCCCTATTATTCCTAATAATTTCTCAAATGCAATATTCTGGTATCTTATTCTTTGGGTAGGCTTGAATTTGGTTATTGAATGGTTCAGAATTGAATGAATTAATGAATGGATGAATAATTTTGTATATGCACAGGTTACAGGTGACGCAAAAAATATTACAGAACAAATTATAAAAACTAAATGAGACCTTTTGGTGACTAAACAACTATCCCAAGTTGGTTTTTGGCTACTAAAATTTTAGTCGTCAATTGTCAAAAAGTGAACATTTTGGCTACTAAACTTTTAGTCGCCAATTGTAAAAAAGAAACTTTTGGCTATTAAATTTTTAGTCACTAATTTTCAAAAAGTGAAACTTTTGGCTACCAAATAGTTAGTCGTCAAACATACATGCTCAATTGGCTACTAAATAATTTAGTCGCTAAAAGTAAAAAATATATATATTTAATTATTTTTAAAAAATATATGGCGACTAAAGTTTTAGTCACCGATAGGTCACTTTTGGCTACTAAAAAAATTTTAGTCGCCGATTATTTTTCTTGACGAACTATTGGCGACCAAACTGACGACCAAATATATTAGTCACCAAAGGTAATTGGTGACTAAAATAAGATTTTTGGCGATTAAAATTTTAATAGTCAAAATGAAATTTCTTGTAGTGAAAAAAAAGAAAAATTAGTAATTTGGGTGGTGGGAATCCAAGGAAGTAAGGTTACTAGCAACTCTCCTAAAAAATTGTAGAATCACTTTCTTGATGTAAGATTTGAACTAGTAATTTATCCTCTTCATCACGTAGATAGTCAATTTTTGGTGAAAAATTATTCAAATTGGATTGCGTCCCAGTCCTAACATACTTGTACATCAATGCTCAGTCTGCAGTGCATTTTGTAGTGCGCGAAAAAAAAAAATGCAAATTTAGAGAAAAGAAGATAGTGCATCACCGTATGCCCCACACTCCTCCAGCAACCTTTATTTCTAGCAGCCCCTCGCCCATCTGCGATTCGAGGAACTTGATGTGACTAAGGTCACAGCAGGTGTTGTGGTGCCCCGATAGAGGCTTGTTTCAAGTATTTTTTTTCATAATCTAAACCATTTATATTACCGGTAGAGGCTTGTTTTAAGTATTTTTTTTTTTTGATAATCGAAACTATTTATATTATAAGATTTGTTAGGTAAAAAATCAATTTAATAGAAAATCATTAACCTTATGATTAGATTATAATTTTTTTAAAAAAATTATTAGATTATGTTAATTATTTATTTATTATTTTTTTAAAAAAATGCACTCTTCTTATAGGAATATAGATAACCAATTAATTTAAATTTTTTTATGAATGATCTACGTTTGAATTATCAAAAAAGATTTACCAAAAAAAAAAAAAACTTCAACCGAAGCCCAACATCATCCCTTGTCTCCCCCTGCCATCCCGGTTGCCACCATCTCTGGCCATTTGATCTCCATGGGAAGGGGAACATTACAGCTCCAAATTTGAAACCCATATCTTCTCTCTTCCTTGTTCCCCTTTCCCTTCCCCATTTGCTTCTGGTCGTGTTTGTGGGGGTTGCCGAAGAGTTTCACCTATGGTGGCAGTTTTTAGAGAGAGAAAGGAGGAGGAAGAAGAAGAAAAAAGAAGCAGAAGAGGAAGAGGAATGGGATAGGGTGGGTTTACGATGGTGATGATGGGTTGGGCTGAAGATCGGCGGTGAAGGTTAGGGCCACGGTGGAGGCTCTGGTGGATGGAGAGAAGGGCTGCAAAAGGGTTGGACGGTGGTGGCTAGCGGTGGAGAGGGGTAGGGGTGGCGAGGTCACCTGGGATCGGGTTCTGATTCTGTTCCGTTAGCTTCTTCTTCTGTTTTTCGTGTGTAAGTTTTGCCCTAAAATGACGTGGTTTTGGGCACTACAAAAAAGGATTACAGAGGATCTGGAGCCTTCAATGCCCATTTATTTATTTGATATAATGGAGGCCGAAGCCAAACAAACATAAAAGAAAGGAAAGAAATCAAGAAACATAAGAACTTGCAGACGCAATTTGTTGCATATCACGCCATAGGAACTGGCCCGAATTTATTGGAGCATTTCTTAGAAGTTAATCGTTGTTGCCATTGGTGCAAAAATGGTTTGATATCATCAATAGGTGAATGAAAAATTGATTGTACTATTTGAGTATAGTTTTAAAATAAAATTTATTTAAGGGGGATACACCAATAAATCCCAAATTAATAACTTATACACTGTTTAGTCCTAAAAGTTTTCTTATAGACTGAAAGGTCTCATCCGCACACACATTAGCATCATGAAGAATGCGGCCAACTAGGGATGTAAACATGGCCCGAGGTGGGCTCGGCCCGTTTCGGCCCGAGGGCCCTTCATTTGAGCCCCCCCAAAAAATTTTGAGCCTTGCGGGCAGCTCGGCCCGGCCCAACCCACTTGATGGTTAAATTTCAAAAAATAAAAATAAAAAGTAACTTGCAATGGTTAAATAATTAAAAAAAATAAAAATAAATAAAAGATTGATCTTGCAAAAATGAAAAAAATAAAAACAAAACAAAGTAACACAATAGTCAATGTCATTTTCTTACAATGAATGAATAAAAAAAATAAAAAAAATATATATATTTCAACCTGTTACCCAAAAAGTAACCTAAGAGGAGGGTAAATTAAGTTTTTACAAATTAAAATAAATAATCCCTAATAAAAATTACAAACTAATACATCAATTAGAATAGTAGGAAAATCAGATAATTATCACAAATAATATCAGATAAATACGGCAGTGCAAGCAAGAGCTCTGCTCTGTTCTGTTTGACATGGCCTATTTATTCTTCCCGTTCAGGAGATGACTGTTGCGAAGTTAAATTTTGAAAATTAGCTGTTGTAGCCGGCAGAATTGAACTGGAGCACAGATCATCTTTCAAAACGTCCGACCGGACGACCACTAGGCCAAATTTCCTTTCCCGACCAAAAACATGTCCGATAGGCCAATATATCTATCAGCTGGCCAAAAGACTTGTATGACCGCCAATAATAAATATGAATGAATATATATATATATATATATAAATTTACTTTACTCTTTCAAACTACTATAAATATCCTCGATTTTTCAAAATAAATCTCACTTTCTTAAACTCTCTCAATCTCTCTTAAAATCTTAATCTCTTTTAACTCTAAATTAATTTTGAAGTGTTATCCCTAAGTGACAACTGTAATTGTGCAACAAGAAACTTTTATTAGAATAAGTTAATTTCTGTATCGCATTCGGCAGTCGGTAACATTAATTAGTTTAATTAAATTTATTGCCTACTCAAATTAGTTTAATTAAATTTATTAGCTACTAATTTTTTTTATTAATTATTTGTTATATATTAATTATTATTTTTTTACTCATTATATTTACACATTATTTAAATTAATTGTTAATTCTTATATATTGTTTTACATACATTACTATGGATCCTAATATTCCTAATGTTTATGTTGATGTTGATACATATACTGCACAATATGAATCTGTTGATTCTCCTTCTAATATACATTTTCCGACAGTTGGATCATTATCTAGGGGCACAACTAGTACTGTTTGAGAACATTTTGAAAAAATATCTATAACTAATCCTGATGGTACAATTACATTTGAAGCAAAATGTAAATATTGTGTGCATTTACTTAGTGCTGCATCTGTAGGAGGTACTAGTTATCTAAAAAGATATGCTAACAAACATTTATAAAGTCAACACCTTGATATTAGAAGTCAAATGCAATTAGGGGTTTCATCAACTGGTAATTTACAAATATTTTAATATGATCCTATACGTGTACAAAATTTTGTAGTTGATTATATTATTGAAAAAGAACAACCTTTTACTACTAGTGAATGTCCTAATTTTGCCGAAATGATTCACGAAAATTTTGCACCACAATATCAAAGTTTTTCAAGAAATACTACTAGAAACAGGATTTTAGAGAAATTTGAGGATGTTAAAAGTGAATTATTTGACATCTTTAAAAATTTGAATGGAAGA